GATAATAGAATAGGAAACCAAATATTCTGGTATATAATTTAGGATCTCATTGATTTGCCTCTAACGGCTAGTCTCCTAAGCATTGTGTATATAATACGTGTTAATAATATTCTCCAATCCATCAAAACAAACAATCACTGGATATATCCATTGTCTTGGAGTTCAAGCACTATAATTCACAACCCTATTGATGCATAGTTTCATAGTTATAGGGAAATAATTAAGGCGGAATATTGTTGTTACATTTGTATATGTAAAGTTATAATATCTTAGCATTTTTTTGGGGGTCGGAATATATTTAAGTATATCAAAGACGAGACTGAAGGAAATTGGAGCGAATCACAAAGACATAACATTTGTCTTCTTTCACAAGATATCTTAACTTGTCGAGTACGAAAGGTTAAAAGGCTTTTTATCTAGGTCGAAGCCCAAATATAATTTTATTCAATATTTCGTTACATGATTGATCTTTATTACAATGACTTCATACCATGATTTTCTTATAGGGATAGATACGTTAAAAATTTTAATAGATGCTTTTTTATTTCAGTCCTTGTGGTTGTAGTTATGATCATCACGGAAGCGTTGGTTTGAAGCACCGGAAATGAGGAAAGATGAAACGACGGAGACGTGGACAGCGGTAGCCCGGGCGGTAGTGCGGTGGGATATACCCTTGGATTAACGGTGCAGGGGCAAACGGTAACGTATGATGAATTGACGGCGGAGGATTATTTTCATTCAGACGGCGTGATGCGGTGGTTTCCGGCGTGAGATGGACGATCAATAGAAGGGTTAATGCTAAAGTGGAGTAAGTTGAAGAAGCCATTATTAGTTTGTGTTACAAGAACAGATGGTAATTGTGTGTTTATATATAGGACAAATCAAAGATTTAAATAAATAGAAAAAGAATAGAATTATTCAATGTTAGATATATTTGTATAAGCACGTATTTGTTTTAGGTATCATCATTGTCTATTTGAGGTAATTTCTTCTTCTTTTTGACGTCATTGAAATGGTTGTTTATTCGTTACGTTGACACCTTATCACGGAAATGTCATAAATATGACAACCTCAAAAGAACAAAATTCTTATGGAATGGTCCGGCAAGAGTGTTATCGAAATAGTAGAATTTGTTATAAAGGTTCTTCTTTGGAAAATTATTATATGTATATAATTAATATTTCCCATATATTAAGTTGTATACGTAACATCAGTTTCAACCTAAAATGGGAGACAAACACTGCATGTGGATGCATGTTGGCTGCTTGAATCTGTTCATTAAAAAACGAATAAATCAAATTCAGGTTTTGAAAGGCAATACCGAATTTAAACGATTTTTCTTTAGTTTTTTATAATTAGGCAGTTAGGATTAAAATCCTTGAAATCCGGCCCGGTTAAGTCCTAAAAGATATTAGATTCGGATTTGGATATATAAGCTTAGAAAATGATATTTGGACTACTGAGTTTTAGGGGTTTTTATCCAGTTGGACTCGGATCGACCCGAAAAAACTGAAAATAAACATAAAATTTATATAATTTTTTTAAAAATGCTTCATAAAGATAGATTGATTAAAAGATAATATATA